CTTGACAAACCCATCCATGGACAAACCCTGTGATAGTCCTCAAGCTCTCTGATTGGATGTTTGAGTGTGCGCCGAGGGTTACGCCGAGCGTCGAACAGCACTTTGAAATGGGATGGAACCACGGCAGACTGTCCAAAACTGAATTTGAACGGGTCCACCCCGTCCCCCACCCCGTCCCCAGAACNTCCTGCCTCAACAAAACATAAATAAACCGGTTACAACAGGTCCAAAATGCTGCAGCCAGACTACTGACTCGGTCCAAAAAAACATGCCACATCACTCCGATTCTTTCTGCCCTGCACTGGCTCCCTGTCCATCTCAGAACCCAATTCAAGGTACTGGTCTTCAAATATAGAGCTGTCCATGGCCAAGCCCCAGCCTACGTTACAAATGACCTGATCCACCCTCACAGCACAAACCGGGCCCTGAGGTCCTCTGAACAAAGGCCTCCTAAGGGTGCCCCGAACCAGGCTAAAGACTAAGGGGGACCGTGCCTTTGAGGTGGTGGCCTCAAGGTTTTGGAACAAACTCCCCCAGATAATAAAAACCTCGGCCTCAATAGAGATTTTTAAGGGGCAGTTAAAGACCCACCTGTTCCGACAGGCCTTTGGGTCGTCGGAGGAGGTGAGTGGGGGGACCGTGCCTTTGAGGTGGTGGCCTGCCTGACTGTCTTTTTTTTTTTTTTATTTCTTTTTTTTATTGGTGTTTTATGTTTTATGTTTTATCCTATGTATTACCTGCTGCTGTTTTATGCCTTTTATTCTACATGTTATAGTTGTACTTTGAATTGTGTCCTGTGTACTGTACATAGACTGTATGGTACTGTAAAGCCCTTTGTACATCCGTGTTGAGAAGGGTGCTATATAAATACCTTTTTACTGACTTACTTACCCATCGGGGGCGCCAAAAAAATTGAAAAAAAAAAGTTAGACGTTTAAAAAAAAAAACGGGCCCAGCCCCAGTAAAAACCAGAGGTTTATGTGAAATGGTTCTTTTTTTTTAATAATGGTTTTAGTGTGCAATTATAGGTTTTAATTTTGTGTGAGTGTTAATTTAAAATAAATCAAACTCCCAAAAAACGAACAGCTTCTGTGTGCTTTTATTAACATTGGAATTTACTGTGTAAGCGGCCGCGGGGGGGGGAGAGCTTTAGAGAGCTCCCTCCTGAAAGACTTAGAGGCTCTGATAACCTCAGCTCAGTGAGGTAAAGGCACACCTTTATATGATCATTATAGTTATAAAAAAATAAGAGAATAGATGAAAAACAGGTATAAAATACTATATGACAGTACAAAATCTAGGGCAGCAAATTGGTCAGGGCCAGCCCTGGCCAGCATCCTTGCTATCTGTTGTTCACTGAGTTGATTCTCGCTAAGTAGCCATTATAAGGCTTAGTCATCTTGCCAAATAGTGAGCCTGTGTTGATATGAATTTTTTTTTATAACTGGTTTATAAATCGTTCTTAATGATTAATAAAGTGTTTACAACCTAATTCATAACCTAATTATAAACCCTTTATGAATCCTTTATAAGGGTAGTCTTGTAAAGTGGTAACGATTTATGTAAACTCCAACATCAGTTTTAATGTCATAAAGTGGCCTCGATCCCATTTGTATACACTCTGGCCCAAAACAGAGAGCCCTTGGACCCAAAGTTCACCGCATTTAAAAAGGCCAAATGAAAATCTAATTTGAGTCATATTCAAAACTGCTATCACATAAGAAATCAGCTAGACTTAGGTGGCTTAGGTCTACCATAGGGGTACAAATCTATAAGTGAAACATGTAAGATAGACTAAAGACAGCAGCTGCATTTAAAAATAGCTTTATTAGAATAGTAAAAATAGGCAGGGTACATTAAGAAAATGTGGTCCATAGGCATGAAAAAAGTCCACATTCAGGATGTTCGTTTGACAGTAGGCACAATAACATGTATATAAGTGTTAAAATAACATACAACATTTTTACACAATATGTATATTTATTGTGTGATTGCTTTAAGATTATGTAAAATTAAGTTTTTCCAAAATTACATTCAAATGAAAATGATTCAATATAGTAAATACAGAATTTTTAATTTGCTAAACAATGCCCAAACCACAAAGATAAAATAATAGCCTACACATAGAATGTTATCCTTCATAAATAATGAGATCCAAAGAATAAAGGTAAACAGGTGCGAACCATTTAGACAGGAAACTTCATTAATCAACATTTTATATTTGCGCTTGTATGCAAATGTAAATTTGTAATTTTGTTAACATTAGCATTTTATTTGACTAAGTATAAACATGTATGTTACCGTGTATGTGATCAGTCATGACACTTTCAAGAAATAATCAGTATTTTTAATACATTAACTATCTTTTTCACCATATATTAAGAGAAGATTTACTTTAAACAAATGGTATTTAATTTCACAGTAGACGCAGACAAAAAGCAGGAAAATATGGCAGTCGTTTCTAAATGTTTACTGCCTTAATGGAGTCCAGGTCATCAGATCCGTCTTCACTGTTCAGTGAAATGGATTCCATGGCGATGTTTCCCAGGGCGAAGTTGATGAAGACCTGTGAAGGTGCAGGAACAATGTAAGTGTCCAATATAAAAGATAGTTATTTTTCTGTGAACCGATTCGAGTGAATCTGCTGGTCAGTTTCCCTCAACACCCCCTCTTTTCACTCTTCTTATGGTATCTTCAGGTCCCAGAGCCCCAAAATGGAAGAGTACCGGTAGTTGAAGAACATCAGCACTGGCTGCATATTAAGCTCACAGGTTCTCTCCCCAACTCATATTCCATTTATCCTCCCTCAGGCATACCCCTCTGTCAGTTTCCTTCTCCCTCCTTTAAACTTTCTCAAACTCAGTCTCTCACTCCCACTCAGCTTTCTTCTGTCCCTGCTTCTCCTCCTACCCTCTCTCTTTACTTCTCTCATCTCCTGTCCCTTTTTTCTGTCCCTCGCTGCCATCCACCCACCCTCTACAAAGCTGCACACTAGTCCCCCCTCTCACTCTATTTATGTCCTGTCTCTTTTTCTTACCTCATCCAGTGTGGTCTGGCTCACAGAGAAGTGTTTGATCTGCAGAGCATTCTTGTTGGACTCCAGCTGGTCAAAGATGTCAGCCACCCCTCCTGGAGCAGTTGGTACGTGGTACTCTACCATAGTGGAGTGCTGGTCCTGTGTGTTGACAAAGAAGGGGCAATTAGATATTCTGAAATATGCTCTCTGTGTTAACACAATTCATAGTGAAGAGCAGTGTATACCAACATAGGCAAATTCAACTTTGCACCTCAATCCTGAAATAATAGCTGGGATCAAAATACCACAAAGGCTCCCTACATGTTCCTCGGAAACTAATCATACGTACAACCAAAATGCCCTACAATGTATACTTTGCATTCTTTTCCCTCTTCTCTACCAAGTACCTACAACTACTTTGGATGGCTGGCAGAACTCACCTTGAGATAAGTGCTGGGGAATCGACTTCGCATGAAGACAGTGATTGCCTCAGCGTCACAGGAGGCCTCTGCCAAGTACATCTTCACAGTGAACCCGCTGCCGAACCTGCACAAAGGAGATTTTGCGAACAAAGCACTGTGTTATTACATGTCTGAGGGGTGGGGGGTACATGGCTACAAGTAAAATTGAGCATTCAGTTGCACAGAGGACCACAGGAGAGGGGAAAATAGGAGGTTATGTGCGCAGGGCGGAGACAGCGGTAATGGCTGAATTGGGGTTTGAGTAGAGGTCACTAACCTGTTCTTAATGTGCTGCAGGGAGCCCAGGCAGCAGAACTGACCTTTCACCATGATGGCAAGACGGCTGCACAGAGCCTCACACTCCTCCATGCTGAGAGACGGAGACAAAGAGAGAAAGATAAAAGGTCACACTTGGAGCCTTTGAGCATATAATGAGCAGTGCCTGTGGTCACATAGAAATAATAACATTTAGTGCTTATTCTTGTTGTTTTCTACAGTATAACCTGAAATTGTATTCCTTATCCTTACATCGTGTATTCAAAAACAAAAAACATTTGACCAGGAATGAGAGACTGAGCAGGTGTATGTATTTGAAGCTAACCTGTGAGAGGTGAGGACCACGGCACATTTTCCTTTCACTTCTTCAGAGATGATTTTCCACAGGTGACGCTTTGTGCGAGGGTCCATGCCGGAGCTCGGTTCATCCTGCAGAGAGAGGAAGAGTGAGGAGAAGTTAGAAGTGTGTGTGGAAGAGATAAAGGAAGGTTGGAATCACCACACAGACATAAAGGGAAAACAATGAGGTTGGAAAAACAAGGGCAGGGTGAACAAGAGAGAGTAAACACAAATACATAATTGCAAAAAAGCAAGGAAGATGGGAGGCCAAGTGCTACAGGCAAAGTAAATAAGGGGAAGGTAAGAAAAGAAGACGAGACAAGAGGCAGAGGGAAGCTTCAAGAGGATGGGGAAATTAAGAAGAAACACAGAGAAAACAAAATGTAAGGATACAGTTGAGAACAGGAAGGAGGAAGAGAAGATAGGATTTGATAGAGATAAAAGGTAGAAACAAAGTTGAAAGCTAACAGAGAAGACCACCCTTGGGTGAGCCCGAGGAAACAGACTAATTAACTAGATATGAGATCTGTCAAGGCTTGGGGATCAATATCTACTTCACTTCAAAGACCCTTTCAGGAGGAACAATAGTATACGGTTTAATATTAGCTGTCTTGTGGACGGTTAGGCAATTAAATGGGCAGCTAAAGCGGCGAGAACGGGCGGTTCCTCACCAGCAGAAGGATTTTAGGATGTCCGATGAGAGCCAGCGCAGTGGAGAGCTTTCTGCGGGTGCCGCAACTGTAACTGTCAGTAATGATGTCTTTATGGTAGCTCAGCTCCAGCCTCTTCAGCAGGTAGTTCACCACCTTTTCAAATAAAAACATGCAGGGGATTAGACAGTGGTTGAACAAAAATAATGAACATCACATGAGAAAAAAGGTTTACTGTTTGAAACGATAAAACATAATAGTAGTTTAACTCGTATCTTCCTTATCCCTGCAGATCACAGAGGTTTACTTTATTCACATCTCACAGGTGCTTTATGCTATCACTTAGATGTTCAATGAATGTGTCAATCAATTAGTCCACATGACATTGTATTGTTGTTTTCTGTTTGTTTTAATGAGTGTTTTTTTTAACCCCTGTCAAAAGCAGTTATATGGAGACTATTGCAGTTTTAATTGATAAAGGAAATGTATAACTACAATAGTTGGTCCTATTTTAATGTAGTAAATATTATTAGGGGGCTGGAGCATTCTGTCAGTCATTTTCTGAAGACACAGGATTCATCATTATGCTCTCTCTACTTTTGTTTTACACCATATGCAAGTTAAGTATACATTTCCTAAAACAAGAAAAATCCTATGACTTGCAATTACATCACAAATATTGAATATTTTGATAAGAAATAGTTTGACGTTAGACTATATGACTTTTGTTTTGTACAGTAGTTTATCCTTGAATGTGTTATAGGGATGAGATTAAAGGTAGTTACATTTACGTTGTCTTCTTATTACTAGGTTTTCATCTTAAGAAGGCAAAGGAAACCTCCGACCTTCGCCCAGTGCAACCAATCAAGAAAAGATGTAATGGTTTTGCCGTTATACACTGGGAGTCAGTAGGTTTAATGGCTGCTCTGCATGGCTCTAGGACCATAAAGGAATATGAGGCAATTTCATAGAACTATATGCTGCTCCTATAGTTATGAGTAGAAAGTCAATGCCCCTTACTGTGTCTCGTGCAGATCGAAACAAAACCAGACCTTTAGAGGAAGTTGATTTTCAGTCCCTTTAATCCATCAATTTGAGGACATCTCTCTGGAGAAAGAATTCCAATATACCACCACGCACTCAACTGAGGAGCTGCAGGAAAGGTGCATTTACAAAAAAGCTGAAAAGGATGCACTACAACTCATTGGCTATTTTCTCTATTTTCTCATTTCTCTTATTGCCTCCTGATAATATGTCAGCTGCAATGTAATCAACTGAGGTTTCTATCTGTCCCACTCCCATGTATATTTAATTGTGTTTGTAAACCAACAATGAATTTACTTTGTGACTTTATTCAATCTGAGCTCCACGCTGTCCTGGGGCTGCAGCTTTATGGAAAAGGAACTGACACAGCACACATAACTGAACAAAAATATAAACGCAACACTTTTGTTTTTGCTCCCAAGATCTAAAACATTTTCTATATACACAAAATAACCATTTCTCTGAAATATTGTTCATAAATCTGAAAAAATCTGTGATAGTGAGCACTTTAAACCCTAACCCTAACATGTCACCCATTGAGCATGTTTGGGATGCTCTGGATCGGCGTATACGACAGCGTGTTCCAGTTCCTGCCAATATCCAGCAACTTCGCACAGCCATTGAAGAGGAGTGGACCAACATTCCACAGGCCACAATCAACAACCTGATCAACTCTATGCGAAGGAGATGGGTGACATGTTAGGGTTAGGGTTAGGGTTTAACCCTAGGGTTTTCGGACCCCCCCCAGACCCCCCCAATATAACAAAACTGCACGTTTCAGAGTGGCCTTTTATTGTGGCCAGCCTAAGGCACACCTGTGCAATAATCATGCTGTCTAATCAGCATCTTGATATGCCACACCTGTGAGGTGGGATGGATTATCTCGGCAAAGGAGAAGTGCTCACTATCACAGATTTTTTCCGATTTGTGAACAATATTTCAGAGAAATGGTTATTTTGTGTATATAGAAAATGTTTTAGATCTTTGAGTTCATCTAATGAAAAATGGGAGCAAAAACAAAAGTGTTGCATTTATATTTTTGTTCAGTGTATGTATGTAGGCCGATCCAGAAGTCAGCATAGCAAGGGCTCCCTGGATTAAAAGCAATGGGATTTTTGGAATATTGGAGAAATATGATTTGTGGCAAACACAAGTTAATAATAATTAAACGTAAACTAGTCAAAAGTAAAAAGCTAAAATCAAGCTATAAACCAATGGCTACGCATCACCAGAGCTAAGCTAAAGGCGATTTTAGCTTTTTACTTTTGACTAGTTTACGTTTAATTATTATTAACTTGTNATACATATGTAAATATATAATATATATTAAATAATGTATTATATTACATTGTTGGCCCTGCATTGGATTATTATCAGTTCTGTTAATATCTTCCTAAATAACTACGTCTGAAAGCAGAAGTCTAGGGCAAATAATTGAAGGTAAATATTCAAGAATTACACCAATTGTATTGTATATTATATTCTTTGCAAGCTCTTGTGGGGCCACATAAAATTAGGTCACAGGCCGGATTTGGGCCTTGAGTTTGACACCCCTGATTTAGACCATGTTTAAAACCATATATTTCCCTCAAGTGCAGAGACATAAAACAGAGCATAAAATGAAAGTTACATTTGGATTAACATTCTACAGGTGGACACATTTTGGCTCAATTTCACCTGCTGAATGTCTAACTCAGGCGTGTCAAACTCAATTTCATCGCGGGCCACATTAGCATTATGGTTGCACTCAAAGGGCCGGTTGTAGCTTTAAGACGATATAAATATATAAAATGATGTTTTACATTACTGCCTCTGCATTGGATTATTATCGGATAGGGTTAATTATGAAGTTATTACCCTATCCGATAATAATCCAATTTGAATCTGAATCTGAATCTGAAATCTGAAAGCAGAAGTCTATGGCAAACAATTGCAAGTCTCTTCAGTGTGCATGTCACAAAATGAGATGCATTGTGGGAAAGGTTGTTTATTGGCAATGTGCTTCTGTAAAACGACATGTAACCGTATAATAAACATATTATATTCTTTGCAAGCTCTTGCGGGCCACATAAAATGAAGTCGCGGGCCGGATTTGGCCCCCGGGCCTTGAGTTTGACACCCCTGGTCTAAATTAACAACTTATTGCCAATATGACTCCTACATCAACCTAAAACACAATAAAGTGACACAGTCCCAGTATTGTGCTTGTTCCGTAAAAGTGTATAACGAAGTGTCTAAACTGATGCTTAAACCGAGCAATAAACAACTTGTATCACCATGCGTGGATTAACGTGACGAGAAGGTGTATCATTTAGACGCCCTGGAAAATACAACACACCTTAGACAGTGGCCCTAAATCTATTTAAAGAGTAGTAGTTTTGGCGGAGATGAGTGACAAGGGACAACATAGCTAAGCGTGGGTTTGTCGAAAGTATCTCTTGTCTTTGTATCACCTTTTAATTCGTCTGCCTTATCTCCTTTGTGTGTTTTAATATCCGCCCGTCTGCTGACAGACACAAAGAGGAGAGGCAAAGACTTGTTTGCTCTTCCCTGGTTCTCACAGTTTTATTCCCTCCTTGATGGATCAGTGGAAAATGAATGGCAACTTCTCAATCTTTTCCAGTTGTTGCAGGAAGATATATTTGGAAGTTGTAAAAAGGCCCGTCAGTAGAGATGATATTGAATAGACTCAGAAAGACTACTATATTTAGGGAACCGTCACACATGCAGGAAATTAACTTTGGCAAATATTGGCCCCACGTTTGTTTCCATTATATGTGAGCAAAGCGACGAATACAACTTTCAATTAAGCAAATTGGCATCGTGTTGAGTTCAACCTTCGTGGACTTTGAGTAGCGAAGCCGCAACCTTTAACCAATATCAAAAGTGGTTGAAAGTATTTCACACTGTCCACAATCAACATGAATACACCAGCATGTTTTGAGATTGAGTCCCTTGACTTCATCCATTACCACGAGGACAATCTTCTCTATATCTTCTTCCCACATGACTAACAATTAACAGATGTTTGGTTGGACACTGCTTTTGCTCTGTGCCTTTGAGACAATGCATAACTGTCCTTCCACTGAACCGCAAGTTTATCCATATGTCTGCCTACGGTTGTGGGAATTCTTACTTGTGTAAATTAATTTCTTCGTAAATCTGTCTGTAGATTAAAAGAGTATGTATTTACAATTCTGGGAAATCTTCAGACTCTTGTTTTGTGGTAACTATCTGCAGATTTATGAATTTATTTCAAGTGAAACAAAACAAAACAGTCTTGTGCTTTCTAGACAAATGTAATACATGCATATGAGTGGATGAAAGGCCAGACAAAGTGAGAAAGCAGCAAGCAGGGAATATGTGGCTTTGTGCAACAGGGCCTTGGAGAACTTCACGAAGGTCGCTCTAGCACTCACCCTGAGGAAAGGAAAAAATACTTCTATTGACTGGCTTTATTTTTAGTCGCAGGAATGAAAGAAGATGAGAAAAGGATTAAAACTTCATACCAAGTATACTAAATTAAAAGGCTGTTGACAGAGACTAACTCTGTTGATGTTAGATAATCTCCTCTTTCCCCTGAATAGATCTTTATCTAGCTGTGAATGGAAAGTATCTAACCCTCAATGTCCAACTTAAAACGACATTTTTTTATTTGCTACCACCTATGTGCTCTGTGTATCACTTGCCCTGTTTTAATCTTCAGAGAAAAAACAGAAACCAAAAGCGAGAATATCATTTTTTTGATAGCATTATCCATTTACGTAGATGGATGCCATTCTGATCAATATGAAAAACACAATTTTTTTCACTACAAAAAGTAATAATTTTAGGACTAAAACTGGAAACATTGGATTAGGGTTCTGAGGAGAAAGCGGTCGGCAAGTTGGATGAAAGTCCGATAATCCCTCTCGTTTTGACTCTGTTTTGGTCACCACCAGCTCTGTCCTGATTTGTTTCACTGCTGATTACCTGCTAGATGTTTAGTTTGCCTGTTGTTTGTGTGAATTTGATTATCAGAGCTTTTTTCTCTAAAAACAACAAATCGTGTTGATGAGGGTGCTGTGGCTGGACTAAAGCATTTTGGGTAATAACATCTGAACAATGAGCAG